ATTCAGTAACAAGAAGATGCAACGATGGAGACTTTGCCGCAGACATGGTATATCAATTCCAAACGTACCTATTCCAAACGAACTTTAATTAATCAATCGAAGTAGAAAGCCTGCTTCCATATGAAAATTGATGTTAAAGTGCATATAGCGAAGTACGAACGCAGCACCCACATTCAACCCCCGCCGTCCGTCCATTCCAAGTTTGATCCTTGCTCCTACATCACTGCCGTTGCCTATACAAACGCAACAAGGGCTTTCATGTGCCCAAAAGGCCAGTCTTCTCGCCGTGGCTCTACCCAAGCTCAAAGCTCGACGAGCTCTGGACAGATCATTGCGAGACCACGCTATTCTCACTTGAGAAAGGTATCCTATTGATAGGCACGTGCTTGCAAGGCCAGCGAAGGTTGAACAGCACTTGGCTGATTGCTATCCATAGCAAAGCTCTAAAGATGGCTGCGTCAAGAATTTTCGTGTCTTTACGCTGGCTCTTCGCACGTATTTTGCGCCTGAGGGCGAGCGTGACGTCATGTTCAGAGTTGTGTCTGGAAATTTCATTTCTACGGTGTGCGTGGGCTATTGTTGATCGAATGAACGAAGACGGAAGCTGTCTGCCCGTTGAAATCCACGCTATCCAATGATTCTTCCATCCGACTCGGGGTTAATGGCACAGTTTCAAAACCCTCCAACAGCTGGTGCTGGATGTCGTCGTCTTCATCCTGTGCTTCATTGTCGTCAACCATAGAACGCGACAAAATTAGTGGACTTCGCTTGGACGACCCCGAACCATTAGTTTTCTTGCTCGAACCCTTTGCTGAGGCTTGAGCCCGGTTGCTGGGCTCGGATGTCTGGGTTTCTGCTGCATTCTCTGGACTTTGGATTCGTTGAGGATGGCTTCGTGTGCTATATGGCTCTTGAGCGCCCATATCCGACAGAGGCGTGCTCTGCAGCCGACTGTGGTACCCAATGGGGCTGATGATGGATGGCGGCGAGCTTTCCTGGCCGTATTTCATTGTATTCGCCACATCGCTACTCTGGTGTATTTCTTCCAACCCAGCCGCCGCCGGGTTTTTTTTTCCCGTATTGGTGCTTTCAGCAGAACGAACGCGTGGCCGCTTGACTTGGTCGTGCGGGGAAGCTGCAAGCGCGTTGGTCTGACGGACGTTCATCGTACCAGTGCCGTATTCGCCCGTTGACCCAGGAGCCACGAGATCACCCGAAGACGACGGAGGGTTCCGCGGTACCAAGCTTATGTATTGGAGCGGGCTTGAAATGGATCGTGGTGATCCCTCGTCGAGAATCATATGGGGATGGGTGTCGTCGAGATTGGCGGGTCGGGGTCGTTTGCCCTGATGACCCATCGATGTAGGATGCCTAGTCTGTGCCTGGTATGGTGAAGGGCCTTCAGGATTGGTCGGCCTGGTTGTATTCAGCCGCGGCCGCTTGTTCTTGTGGCGGTGGCGCTGTGAGGTATCTCGAATCTCTACCTCGGATGACGAAGAGCGCCTGTGCTTGGATAGCCTCCAAGCAGCAAGATCTCTTTCGTCACCTCTGAGATCGGAGTGGCGAAGCCGCTTGTCTCTGTGGCGGTGACGCTGTGAGGTATCTCGAATCTCTACCTCGGATGACGAAGAGCGCCTGTGCTTGGATAGCCTCCAAGCAGCAAGATCTCTTTCGTCACCTCTGAGATCGGAGTGGCGAAGCCGCTTGTCTCTGTGGCGGTGGCGCTGTGAGGTATCTCGAATCTCTACCTCGGATGACGAAGAGCGCCTGTGCTTGGATAGCCTCCCAGCAGCAAGATCTCTTTCGTCACCTCTGAGATCGGAGTGGCGAAGCCGCTTGTCTCTGTGGCGGCGGCGCTGTGAGGTATCTCGAATCTCTACCTCGAGATGACGAAGCGTGTCCGTGTTGGAATAATGAGAAATCCGACATCTCCACGTCATAAGATGTGGAGGAATCGGACCTGATTAGCATTTCATTAGAAATAAAGGTTAACAGTGGGAGAACGGCTCTCATTACGATACCGTGGTCCAGCACTGCGGGGGCGTACGTAACTGTCCAGGCTCACGTGCATCGGCGGCGCGCGGTCATCGACGCCCCATCGCAAGGTGCCGAAGAAAGAGGCGATCAAGTCTTGGAAGACAAAAGATGGTGCAAGACTTTTCTTTGTAGAACCTACAGGCGGGTTGGCAACCCAGAACCCGTCACGTTGTAGGGCCAACAAAGTCACGAGAGACGGCTTGCCGTATCGCCAATTCGCCGGCGTACTCATAGACCGCTGATTAACCGCCATGATGCCGCTCCACTGAGATGGTGAATTAATTCTACTTTGGTCGATTATGCTGTGACGAAAGCCTAATATATCAGCGCGGCGGCAAAGCGCTTGCACAAAGGCATCATCGACGCGTGCCGCGATTGCGTTGCTGCCCACATTTGAAAGAGGAGCTTCGCGACTCAACCGAGGAAAGTGTCGTAGCGTGGGTAGAATCAAGCCCAGGAAGGCCGCCTCGGCGCACGGTGGACCGGTCAGGCGAGTATAAACACCTTCTTCGCATTCTGAGACCGGCGGCTGCGCATCATCCCAGAGCTCGCGAAGCGAACTGTACAGGGTCGGACGCTCAGCCCGAATCTCGCCGAAGCACCGTGGTGGATCGTATGATATACTGGTTTCAGTGCGATCAGCTAGCTCGGTGGCCTTGTCAGTCATGGACAGCGTGAAGATTGTCTTGAGGATTTTAGCGCCAATAGACAGATATTTCATGTTTCCGTCGAACAGCTCAAAGCTGCAGATGATTCCTCGGACCTTCAATATATTCCCCAGAATGACATCTCTCTCTGCCGAGTCTGTGACGTGGGGGAACAACTCGCCGTTGCTCATCTTAATCCGGATGAAATCGCGGTCGTCAGTGCTGGCGCATGGTGCTCTGCCTTGTAGCAGCCTGACAGATTGCAGGTCGAGGAGCGGTGGTAGGTGTGTCCCGCCTCTGAGAATATCTTCCCATACTTGATGCATCCGAATGAGGTACATCGCCACCATCTCGTCACAACGGGCCGCACTGATCTTCTGCCAGTTCCCTAGCTTCAGCTCTGGCCACAGACCCTCAAAAGGAACTAACTTGACCAATGCGTCGACTGTAGCACAGTGTCCAAACAAAGCGGCCAAACATTTGCGTTTTGGCTTGGTCCGAATCTGGGCCTCCCAGGCTTTGCGGAGAAGGGGTTTCCCCAAGTGCCAATATTTTAACACATGCCGGCAAATCTCGCCATCAGTAGGGGCGAGGCCCAGGCATGCTTGGCTTGCCAGCTTTTCGTAGTACCGTTGGAGCTGAGTAGGGTCTGTGACTGATTAGACCACGGTTCTCACTCGAGTAAGGGAGGAGCGCGATTTCTGGGGCGGGTTTCAGACCGAGATCAAAGCAGTGCAGACGAACGGGCCAGCATTCGTTGCTAGACCAAGTGGCCGCGACGTCCAGGAGGTGACCGTTGCCGAAGCATTGTATAGAAAGATCGTCACGTAGATATAGATGCTTCCCGCTGATAATGGTCTCCCGGAGCGCAGATTCGGACACTTGTAAAGACGCGGTGAGTTGCTTCAGGGCCTCCCTCGTGATGCGGCCCCAAACCTGGAACTCGGCGGCACGCAACCGAACACTGTCTGCTCCGACGTCGTTGAGATAGTTGACGAGCTTTTCGACATCACGAGGGTCTTCAGTCTTCCCCCAATGATGTGGATCCCCTGGTAATGGACGTTGGACTAGCGACGGGTGCACCCAGACGACGCCAACCACGTGTCGGTCCAGAGAATCTGTCATGACGCCTACGATGGAACAATACCGATGAAGTGGACGAGGCAGCACGAGATGCAAACCATGTTGTGCTGCTGTACTATACTTTATCGAAGATTACATGGGTATAAATGGGCTGCGATGAACGTGTCGCCGTGGGAGAAAGACCCCAGACCAGGCGTGGACGCATGCCGCAACAGGATCGTCAATCTGAAGTTTGAAAAGTGACATTGCATTTCGCCCCACAAAAGCAACCTGGCTGACCAAAACCCACATCACGCGACCAACTTTCAATACAGATCTTCGAGTGGCTTGTGACTATGTTCGAAGCGCTGGTTCCTTGGCTGCGCCTGATGTTGCATTAAGAAGGCTGGTGTCTGCCTCGCGACGTCGACATATAAGCGCATCCGCCATTATTCCCAAAGCACTTCATGCGCCAACACATTCGCGCCAACAGACAAGTAGCCTACGCTTCCGCTTACGCCTACGCTTACGCTTACGCAAGAAAGGCGTGCATCACGACTAGATACGTGGACTCAACACATCATGGCCCTTGGAAAGATGACGGTTGCGCTCGCTGTTGCCTATGCAATGGCAAAGTTGTGAGTACATTGACAAGCTGGTTACAACAGCGGCTGATGCACGCTAGTCTGGACAAAGACAAGAGTATGCTGCTGGACCACAACAGACCATATGAAGAACCGCGGTCACGTCGGTCCAGCCGACGCGATAGCTATACTTCCTCGTCGCGGTACTCTGCCCATGCGCCTGCGTCGCGACGACGGGGCCGTTATGACTGAATGAATATCGTGATCCGAAAGGCTGGTGTGGCGACGAATCGGCCGGTCCGTTTGGACGCTTGATGTACGGATGAAGTAGTGAAGTGTAGAGTGACATGCGGGTAGATTGATCGCTGCGTCGCAGCATGGCACCCCAGGAGGAATGCAATACCTACACAGCGCATTGAAGTTGTCCTTTGATCGTGTGTATTCATCGCGTGAAGTAAAGATCGCGTCCGGCTGGCAGTACGGTGCTTGCTGACAAGACGTTAGTGAAATATCGTACGGCAAAGATGACGTACGGACATCGGTAGCAGTGGATAGCGATGATGGCGACGGGTGTGAGAGTCATGAATGCAAGAAGCACGATAGCAATCCACTCCGGCCTGCTCTTCTGGATGACGCGAACTAAGCATGAGAGGACCAAAGTCAAGACAAACAACAGCGTTTTCGCGAGCATCGCGTGAGTGCGCCGAAAGGACAGACATTGAAGTGGGAGGACAGTTGACCCTGACGTCGTGTGTCAAAGGCTCGGGGGAGCTCAAGCGTCCAACAGCCGGCAAGGACTACGAGGACGTCGTCCGCCGTTGTGCCCACCCTGTCCGTGTTCGCACCAACGAGTGCGTTGGGGGGCCACAGGGTGACACAATGGCAGATCGCTGGCCATTGGCTCATCACAAGTTCATCACCGTTCGAATCAGAGACCAATCATGGAGCGCCCATCACGATTGTGGGGGTTCAATGCGAGAAGCTCAATATCAACTTAGGTGGCCTACCCAGCCTGGCTAGCAACGCCTCAACCCACCCGTTGGTCTATCCGCAGCCCCTCCCTGAGACGGCCTCCCGTGTCCTGGCCGTCCTGGCTGCAAGGGCTAGGGATCACATGAAGCGAACGTCTCCGCGTCAGTCAAGGTCGCGTCCCCAAAGAAATGCTCGACAATGCCTCGCGTGAACAAGCCCAAGGACTGCTTCAGCTTCTCCATGTTCTCGTCAAACAAAATGGTAATGTCGATCAGGTTCTGCATTGCGCCGTAGGCACGAGGCAACAGGCTCTGGAAAGTCGAGGCCGTCTCATTCATGGTGGCCTCCATGCGGGCCACAGCCGACGCCGTCTCGATCATGGTAGCCTCCATGCGGGCCAGCCGCGTGTCGAAGTCCACCCATGCTTTGCCATCTGCCCATGCTTGACTAGAGTTAAATCAGGTTAGCTGGGCGAGCAGGGGACGAAGGCAGGGATGACTGTCAGTCGCAGTCGCAACACACCTTCGGTGGGCCCCACACCGGGGGCATGCGCCACCGCTGGTCCCCATGGCAGCCGGCACGGAGGGCGGTGGAGGAGGAACGACGTTGACCGGGGTGGACGGACATGTTGGCAGGCTGAAGTCCAGGTCGGGCAGGTCGACAGGAGCGGACTGGAACAGGGCGGCTGTGTCTGGGTCCATATCGAGGAGCACATCGTCCTGATCATGCGAGTAGGTAGACGGGACAGAGCACAGATTGATGGATTCAGTGAGGAGTGGCCGAAAAAGATCGTCTTCGCGATGGACGGCCTCTTCGAGATGCATGTACTCCGGCCAGTGGTTCGTCTGGGACATGATGCGAATGTCAAGCGGGGGTGTCTCTGGCATTTGACGGTGATCTAGCAACGTAGTTTGGTGGAGAGACATACGGCGTAACGTCTGGCCACCATGGATGTCTTCGTCTTATACGACCTGCTGGGGTCATAGAACGCAGGCCTTGGAGAGGCGTCGTCTTGTGGTGTTTGGTGGGGTTGGTGTGTGTCTGGCGGGAATGGCGTGTAGTGGGAATGCATGTCCGACCCAACTGGCGCTTATCGGGTGCAGAGGACCCCGTACCTGGCGCATCCGCTGAGGTGCGCGATTTCACCTTTGACGTCTGACAATTGCCATCTGACAACCGACGTCCAGCAATTGACGTCCGGCTATTGGCAGCCTGCGTCCCGGATCCATGGTGGGACATGCCTCGCCCATGATCAACTCTGGCTTATGACCGACAACGAACATGCAACATGGGACGGCCGCCTGTTGCCCTCGCTATTTAGCTCGCAGGGCGACCGTCGCCTGTCGTGGCGGCGCACGACATGCTCCCACTTCTCATAACCGGTCATAACGCGCAAGGCAGCGTGATAACCCAGTGTCCAAGACCGACGCCCCCCCACAGCCACCAAGACGATGAAGTTCCTCCTCCTTTTCCCTCTCGTGCACGCCGGCGTGCTGGCCCTGCACGACGGCCCCTGCATCTGCATGTCAAGTCCTGTCGTCGCCCTCGAGGCCGGTCGGTCGGTGGTGTCTGCCGAGTACGTTGGTCCGTTCGCGTGGAGCGTTGCCGGGTGTGATGCGGCTCGCAGCGAGTGATGCTGTTGGTGTGGCCGTTGGCGCAATGCTGCTCGCTCGTAGGGCGTGGTCGTGGTGTGGGTGGCATGGTCTGTTGCTGTTGCTAACCGCAGCTTCTAGTGTGGAGGACGCGCTGGATCGACGGTGCGGGGCCACCCTCCAGTTCGACAATCCGGACTTCCTCCCCGTCAGCTATGCCTTCGAGGCCATTCCCTGCTCAGGTCGCAGGGTCGCCAGCTTTGTGGTGCCGACAGGGGCGCCCAGCGGCGATGCACACATTACATGGTAGGATGGCGCACCTGCATGCCCAACTGGTCACGCCTGAGCGATCGCGCCCGACGGACGAGACGGGCGACGAGACGGGCGCCCGAGACGGGCGCCCAGGACAGGCGACCAGGACAGGCGACCAGGACAGGCGACGCGACAGACATCCGCGCTAACAGGTTTCTAGGCAATGCGCGGGATTACCGCCAACGTGCTCTCACGCCACGATCGCCGGAGGCCGCGGCGACCCCCACCTGCCACTGGTGAATGTCGGCCGGATTGGGTGCGTGTCGGAGTCGGTGGTGACACGGAGTACGCTGGCGACAATCGTGCGGTCGTCGACGACGTTTGTCTCGACGGTGCCGACGCTGGTGACGCAGACGACGACCGACTTTCGCGTCGCGTTGAGCAGCGCACCTGGCTCGAGCAGCGTGCCAGGCTCAGGCAGCACACCCGGCTCAAGCAGCGCGCCAGGCTCAGGCAGCACACCCGGCTCAAGCAGCGCAATGACCAGGATGAGCACGGAAGGATCGGCGCCCGAGTCAGACGGCGCGCCACCAACGGGGGCGATGTTGTCGGGGTCGGGATCGCTGGCGTCGGCGACATCCTCCACAGGGTTGCAGGCATCACCAACAGCGAGCCACACGTCGACCAGAACCGGGCAAGCTCCGGCGGGCGCATCGACGCCATCGGCTGGCGCGCCCCTAGACGGACAGACCACACCCGGCGCGCAAGCGAGCGTGCCCCCGGCGGCGTCGTCGTCGTCGTCGTCGCTCTTCCAGGTCAGCATGGCGTCCAAGGTCGTGCCATCTACGGGTCTGACTGTGGTCGCCACGGTTGTGTCGACGCTGGTGTCGACCATGACCGTCGTCCAGACCGTGACGGCCAGCTGCTCCGCGAGGACGTGAGTGCGACGCTATACCCGGTGTCTGTGACGGCAGGCCACTGTCATCGAACTGCCATTGCACCGTTGTCAAACTATATAAGATGTCGACCCAGCGTGGCCAGCTTTCTATCCTAGCGACTGTAGCGTTGTGACTGTATCTAGCGTTCTACGCAGCTATCTCCCGCCTGATTGTATCACTGTCTTTGGCTTCCTCGTCCTCTCCTGCCCATCTTCCGCCCTCCTGCCCACCTTTCGCCCTCCTGCCCACCTTTCGCCCTCCTGCCCACCTTTCGCCCTCTCCTGCCCATTTTCTCGCACTGCTCGCCCTCCTCCTCTTCCCCCTCCTCGCCTTCCCTTCCACATGGCTCATCTGCCGTCGCTCCGGCCGTCCAACGGCACGCGAGACCCTCGCTGTATCTGTCCGTCTGGCTTCCAACTTCTTCGTCTTGAGAGACTTGAGGGATGCGGAGACAATACTCCGGGGGGCGGAACCTCGCAGTTCTTCCCACCCGGGCCACATGCCCATCGTGACCCGTTGATGGCCATCCTGCAGACGCTGCATCGGCTGGACACACTGGTGAAGAGACTGGCCGACGCAAACGTCGATCGTCGAGTACGTGTTGTGGCACAATGGCGCAGGTCAGGCGAGCGAAGCTTATGCGGCAATAGGACATTCCATCGACGGAGGAGCCGATGGTGGCACCGTCCACGCTGGAGGCACTGGACAGTGGCATGCTGACGCCTCTATCCATGACCTCGCAGGAGTGATTGGCTGTTGGCGTTGCGCGAGGGTGGGTGTGATGCGCTGTGCGTTAGTGTCAGATAGTTTCAATACTTCTCCGGACCTGTTTTCCATGTCATGACGTTGCCGTGTATTATCGTCAGCTGAAGGATGGCTCAGCAAGCTCGTGCCTGGTAGTTCCTGGCTTTGCCTGTGTGCCTGCTTTGCCTGTGTGCCTGGCTTTGCCTGTGCGCCTGGCTTTGCCTGTGCCTGGCTTTGCCCGGTTGTGCCTGACTTTCATGCCTGTTCGTGCCTAGCCCGTCCGATTCCCGAGGACATGGCACGCTAAGTGACGCCAGGACAATAGACTGTCTTGGCTGCAGAGGAGGTGGAGGCCAGGTGGAGTCAGGCTCGACCTGGGATTGGCGCGTTGGTCGTCGGTCGGTCGGTCCTCGACTGCAGCGTTTCACCGTCGCTTACCAACGTGCCCAGCACATAATCGCCGATGACCCGGAGGAGCGATAGTCGTGCGGTCAGCATCAATTTGAGACGGCAAGCTCGGCGTTGGCGTTGTGCCTACGGAGACGCTGCCGCCAGTGCCAGTGGCGGCACGTCCAGACGTTTGATCGTAGAAACACATGTTCGCCACAAATAGCAAGCGAAAGGACTGGAGCTGGGAGGACCTATGTTCGCCTCTCAGGAGCGCCAGCTTGGCGTACATTTCTGTGGCAAGCAAGCGGGCTAGGTCGGTGCAGGCGCCGCGTTGTCAGGAGCCTGAGGACGGCGCTTGCCTGCTGGTAGCCCCGGCCGAACAGTGCCGGGGCTTCTGGTAGGTGGGCGCGTGTCTAGATTTGCGCCAACGTCTGCCGGCTAGTGATAGGCCATTTTGCTGGTAGCCAACGGCGAGCCAGAGATCCCGCTCGACTGATGCCTAAGCTACCAGCAATGGTTGCAGCAACTAGAGCGGGGGCGTAATTCAATACTAGCCGTGACACAGGAGTGGGCAGTCTATTTGCAATGATAGATCCATTAGCAATCTACCAATCCAGGCACAACCCTCATGTCTCACATGGAAAAACACACATTGCCTTCAGTGACGTAGGCGCTGCTGGTTCATGCGCCCGCCTGCTTCAGTCAGCATGAGGTGACGCGAAACGACGAAGAGGCGGATCTCCTCCTGGAGGCCGTCGATGTACGCTGTGGACGCCGAGCACAAGTCTTCGTGTTCTTGCTGCCAGTACGTGATGACGCCGCGCAGGTTTTCGAACCGCCTGCTTGATGCCGCCTTCTTTATAGCCATGGCCAACCCGCCGCGGCCCCCGCATATCGCACGCCGCACGTCGCACGCCGTTCGCTGGCCTGCACACCCCGCTCCGGCGATAGACCGTCATCGTCCAGGCCCGCGCGACTACGAGATCGACTCATCAGGCATGCTGGGCCTACTGCAGTGGCGTCCCTGTATGCGTGCGTGGCTGACCAGTTTCACCACGCGCTGTGTCTAGTATGCTACGTCTACGCGTGACTTGTAGCGCGTTTCATCCGGTGTTCTCATAGTTGATTTTTAAATTCTAGCAATGAACATCTCTCAATTCAGGTTGTCAAGAATCAACAACAATCAGTGTGGAGACTGTCAGTTTTGATGTTAGGATTTGACTTTTCGTCTCAAACGACGCACACGATATATAAGAACCCTACAATGTTCAGATGCATTTATATTTGGCTCGACAGTTTTCACGATGGCCGATGAAGGCTTGTATGCCACTTGGAATGATCTCATGAGCCTTGATCCCCCATCACCAGAGAATCATAACGAATATTTCCGTCACCACGATGAAGGAGTGCAATCACTACCCCCATATATCAAAACCGCATATGTTGAAAGTTTGACCTGGCCTGATTACAGAAATGTTCTCAAAACTGAAGGGCGTAGCACGTTCAACTCATGGATGTTGCTGATCCAAGCTTGTCCATCAGCAGAACATGCTATTCATAGCAATCGCTCCATCGAAACTGCTTTCAAGGAAGTGGACCAAGTTATCACCAACAGTCCAGACACAAGTTTGCTACAAAGATGCGCCTACATTCATCTGGCTCAGTTAATGTCTCATGTTACAAAAGTAATGAGAGTGAGGCGTCAAACTGGAACACTTCAAGGCAGAACTGGTAGAGGAGACGCCAGCAATGCGCTTGACACCTACATGCAGGCCCAGCCTTTGTCAGAACACTCAGTAACCTTAAGGACACTACTAAGGAGGCGAATCCGCATTGGAAGAAGATACTCAGCCATTACGAAGGCATCGCTGCTACTAGTTCTGATGTTCGGAGCCAAGGTAGATTCTCTAATGCAGGTAACTTGCGCTCAAAGTCCTTCTTGTACTGATAAATTCCCAGAAAAGATTTTTCTGTAACACAGAGAGCTTTGTCAGCGATTGCCGAGACAGCCTTGATGTCTTTGCCTGTCGATTTGGTCGAGGCTTCCATTGACATGAACAAGGTGCACACTAAAAGCATAGAAGGAAGGCTCGATCCTAGTGATTTGGAGGCTCGCGCCCACGAATTTGAAAATCGCTGCCTAATGACATAACTAATAATGATTGAGATAGGTCTGAGTGTGCGAGGGAAGTGAGAAGCCAATGTCAAGACATGGTCTTGCACTGTGACGGGTGACGGGCTTGAGTGATGGGTTGAGCTTGCGTGATTGGGTTGGGTGATGAACTCGGATGATGAGCTTCAATGATAGATTTGAGTGATGGATTTGGATTTGAGTGATGGATTTGGATTTGAGTGATGGATTTGGATTTGAGTGATGGATTTGAGTGGTGGATTTGAGTGGTGGATTTGAGTGATGGATTTGAGTGCTGGATTTGAGTGATGGATTTGAGCGATGAATATTGATTTGAATGATGGATATGAATTTGAGTGGTGGATTTGAGTGATGGATCTGAGTGATGAATATTGATTTGAGTGATGGATTTGAGTGCTGGATTTGAGTGATGGATTTGAATGATGGATTTGAGTGATGGATTTGAGTGATGGATATCGATTTGAGTGACGCGTTATACATATCTCTTTTCGACGTATTGCGTACTGGACGGCAAGAAATTCGGGACGGTCTGGTATGTCAATTCTCTCCATCACGTCCTTCCAGTTGACATCGGCCACTTCGACGCGAACCATGCCCTTGAAATCCGGATCGTTGACGAATTTCGCGAGGTATGGAAGACTATGCTTTCCCGTCTGCTCGGCCGACAGGACATACTGCGGTTGAATGCCCAAGGAGGAGTTGCGACCGCTGGCGTCAGCTCGGCCGACATGGACAGCGATGGTGGTGTTGGCGCCTGGGTGACGCAAGAACTGCGTTTGTCTGTCGCCACGGCGTCGTTGTCATTCAGCGGAAGCAGGGTTTCCGACTTTCCTGCCGACGTGGCAGACCCGCGACGAACATCTTCTTGTACTTGCACTAGTTGGCCTGACACATGGTTAAGAGCCTTCAGGCAATATTAAGATTCAGGTCACCTACCGTTAACGAATCGTTTAGGCCCCCACTTTAACGGTGCCTAGTCCCAGCCCGTTCGTATGCGACTTTGCCTACTTAACCCCCCCATCTCGCATCCAGGACCCCGAATCTCGAAAAATGACTACTGCAACTTGAATCTTTCAATCAGGGATTTTGAAGTCTGGAGAATGCCCCTGTGTACTCAGCATGGGCAGGGTCTGGGGAGGGGGGAAGTGCGCAGCCGTCGCCGCCGTCACTTCTCTCACCCTTTCCCCCTCTTCTCATCTTCATTTCTTCGCCGTAATATAACCATCACACATCGATACACCTAGACCTTCCAATAATCGCTCTTTTGTTCCGTTATTAGCGGCATCCGGACGCGCTGAACCTTTTACCTTGCAGAACGATGTCAGCGATCTCAATACCCGCGGAACCTTGGCGATTTGCCGGTGGCCGCGTTTGGCTGGACGAGTTCGTCGAACAGAGCCATGACGATACCCTTCAATACTTGGAAGGATGTGCTTCTGACCCTATCGAAGATTCTCGTAAAGTACACCGAAAGGCGGAGGCGTACAGGAAGTATGCCCGCCGGCTCTGGAACATGTAGGACTGCTTTGACCTTGAGGATCGGGGCTTATTCATTTGAGGACATGCTAACTTTTGAATTGATTTACAAGGTTTTGCAAAATAGTTCTCAGTAAAGTTGGACCTAGCGCAGCATCTGATCCGGAGACAATTGTGCTGGACCTCTGTGCAAACCGACCCTCCGCAGAAGACAAGTTCAGGGCTTTCTTACGACACCATGTAAAAACTTCGATGCAGCTGCGCCCATCTCTGGGCCCCGAGGAGTACGAATGGGTCCGAGAAGTTGAGTCTGCAATCACTGTCACCGAACTCTGGAAAGCCTTGGTACGCGACTTCGACAGTGGCTTCTTACAAATCAAGCGACGCGAGGAGCCCGAGAAGACCTCTTCCTACTCGCTTAAGTTCACTGATACCTCGCAAGGTAGCGGCTCTGTGTGGAAAGTGTCGAAGGTCTGACTATCTTTACTACTTAACATCTCCCGCTGAACACGAGATCCTAATCTCTTCCTCAGAGCCAGCGCTAATACGCGCCTGCGGGCAAGGTCACAGTGGATTCGAGAAGACCTTGCAAACGAACTTGGGCTTTCACGTGGCCAAATGTTTCACAAGCAAGAAGTCACTGGCGAAGATGCTCTTGCAATTCTTTCTGTGCTATGGGCCAGGCCAGAGGTGGTGACCTGTAAACCCACAGAACGTCTGACATTTCATTTCATGATCCTTCTTGCCAGTATAGGTGCATTCAGACCCGGCGCTCTAACAGAAATTCGATACGAGCAAATAGAACTAGCTAATGTAGCGGATCCCACCGGAAATTCGGAACGGCTAGTTGCCACAATTACGATAATACACAATAAAGTTGACGTGAATGCTCTCAAACGAAGCCAAGATGATCGGTACGTATTTAAAATTTATCCAATCCAGGCTTTTATGCACACAAACACCTCATCATCCCACATCAGGATATCGTTCTCAGTTACATTTGCATCGTCTGTGTCTTGAGTCTGATGTTGGCTTCGAGTCTCTCAACGCACTTCTCCCTAGCCCAACGCTTGGCGAACTGAAGTACCTTCCAATTCACTGGAAGCAAGGTATAAAACAAAATCTTATCTTCAACATGTCGTATAACCGTATGTGGGAGATTTGGAGCCTCTGCACCTGGGCTCTAGGGTGCCGCGACCCGCCTCGCCCGTACGCCATGCGCATTGGCAGCGCTGGGCGGTTAGACGGCAAGTGACTGCCCAATCGTGATTCCGAGAGTACACGAGACAAAAGCTGATAATTTCAAGGTATGCTTACCCCCGCTGTGCGTAACTTCGTCTTCGAAAACTCGTCTGAGGTGTTCGGAAAAAGCTATCTGCCTAATCACCTTCGAGGTCAGCTGCCGAACTTCGCCTTTGGGTTATTAGCTGGCGATGACGAATCTCTTTTCCGACTTCTTTGTAACGCCTCGCTGAGAGTTGACGGCCATGCTCCCATGACTCTAACGAACGAGGAAAAGGCAGCGTTTGAACAGCGGCAAGACCTGCGCACGATCAGCACTAGCTTAGCAACCGACGGTCATGATCAACCATTCGGCTGGCGTGAATAGTTACAAAGCCGAGCTACCTATATTCGTCGTTTTTTGGAGAAGCAATCAAAGGCGTTGAAACGCAAGACGTACTTTGACCAGGTTGACAGGCAACAGGCCCTTGGAAGCAGCGACACAAGGCCCCACCCGAAGGACCAGATCACGTTTGTTCAAGAAGAATCCTACCCGATTCTAGGTACTACGGCTATCAGCTCTGTTTTCAAACACTTCTCAGAAGCGCAAACTCTGGCTACAACTATATGGGAGACTTATTCCAGTTTACTCGTTGCATACCTTCGCCACCTTCCGGCCGACGTGGTTCATTTGGCCAACGAGGCTCTCCAACACACTGAAACGCCAAAACTCGACGATTCTTCAGGTCTTCTATCAACTACTGAGCCCCCGCCGCGATTCAGGGCATCGGCCTCTACATGCTGGTGTCTTTTAGGCTGCGGGTCATATGCCCGCCGCCCGAACCTTACTCGTCACATGAAGGCTCACGTGCGTGATGGCTCGTTTGCAAGGCCTTTTGAATGCCCTGAATGTTGAAGGCTGGGTTGGCCTCCAAGTATCATTGAAGGAATTTCGCATTGGAGTGCCCATATCCATGTTCACCACGACGAACGAGACGCTCCAAATGTGGTATCTGACTTGTCGTCACCTGGAACCCCCTTCCCATCTGGATCGACTAGGATCGCTCATTGTTTCTTTTGCGATCGAAATTTCAGATCAAAAGGACTATACATCCATTACAGCACTCACGAGAAAGACTCTAGATGGAAGAAGTCCTTCGAATGTCCGGAATGTAAGCGGACCGGGAACACGACAATTGTAGACGACTTTGCGGACTGGCGACGGCATTCAGATGGGGCGCACGGTAATGGTGTGATGCTTCTAGACGAAGAGGCTCATAGCAAGGCCGAGAAAAGGTTTCTAGAGGGCTGCAAGTACGAAGCGATCCTCAAGGGAGGCACCTCCTGCCGCCAGGGTTATTATGCTTTCATCTGGTCTCCTCAGTTTTCACGTGGGATGGAAGGCTCTGGTGTCGTCAGAATAAGGAGACTAACGAAAGGATTTTCTTTACACATTAAGGTCTGAAGTCTCGTATGCCTTCATTGCCGGCGTATTTTACTTGATAACGAAATGTAAAATCCAGCACGCAACGTCCTTGCTTCTCCTAGAGCAGATACGAATCATCAGTCTGTTGAGCATTTTGTCCGAAATACAAGACAAGGGCGGCCGGTATTAGATCCATTGCTTTCGTCATAACTAGGCTGTGTGATGACATTCCTAGTGTGCAGAACGCCATCAAGCCATCCTACCAACTTCATCTACACACACACACACACACGTTTATTACGCCTGGTGACCTAGAGCCAATAAGGCACTGTTTGCTATTGTACACGGTCGCTTCCTCTAATCTGTCCAAATCTCCCAAGCCCATAATAGGTCATCTTTCCGCACTTGCTTTCTCGTCTTCTGTCTTGCCGCCGGTTTCTCGTGGGGTTTAGATTGTATTGGCAAGCTGCTTGAAGGCTATTCTTCAAGTGTTCAGAGTCCTATCTACGGCGACTGAAGCGGCTCTTACTGTTATTGACACGAGGTGTGGGTGTTAAGTTCGGTTAGTAGAAGAAGGGGGATTTCGGTGTGTTGGGCCCCCGCAAGGGATCACACGTTCTCCAGTCGGCCCGTGGCCTTCGCAAAGCGAATCGTAGCTCGGAATGCTTTTCCGGCTTCCAATCATCAGCATCTGATGTCGTCTTACCTCCCAATTGGAAGGAGATGTTGTCTCTTTGTGTGCCAGGGCGCATGAGTGTCTCGGCGCGTTGTGTTGCCCATCGTGTGCATCGGAGGAGAAAGTGCTCCACCGTCTCTCTCGCTCGTCCGCATGCGCATTGGGCTGAAGGTACTGCCCTAATTCGGAACAGTGAAGCGTTCAGTCTCGCCATGCCTGTCCTGAGCTGGGCCAGCATGCTAGCATCCATCCAGGAAAGGTTGTCGTACAGTTCTCGAGTGTGCTTGCCGGGTAGTGCTATGTCAACTTCCTTCGAGAGTTTTCCAACATTATCTGGTAGTCGTCTTTCCACACGTAGTTTGCGTCTTGCAGCGCTGAGGGTGGTGGATCGCATCTTTGGGAACTGTTTTTCAGGTACATAAGGCAGTGCTCAAGGTCATCAGGGTTGATGTTGACACCGCTCTACGCACGCAGATGGAGGAGTGGTGCGAAGATCGAGGAATCCTGCTGGAAAGATCAGCCTCATACGCCCCTCAACAGAACGGAACCGCAGAACGCAACGGAGGAGTGCTTCTTGCAAGGGCAAGGGTCCTGCAGAACTCCTCAGGTCTTCCAACAGAGCTGTGGCCAGAGATTGTGCAGGCTTCTGCATATGTCCACAACCTCACTCCCAGAGAGAGGAATGGCTGGAAAACCCCGTTAGGTTTGTTCAACAGTTGGAAGAACGCAACGCAGTCGGGCATGACGGCAGAGACGCCATCCATCTCTCATCTTCGCAGATACGGTTGTAAGGCGTACCCGATGACGACTGCTGCGCTGACAAGGAGCAACGGAAGGAGGAAACTAGACCCGAGAAGTCACATTGGCTACCTCTGCGGATACGACAGCACCAACATCTACAGGATTTGGGTGCCCCAGTTAAAGAAAGTGCTCCGCACTCGAGACGTCACCTTCGACGAATCGACGGTCTACAAAGATGCGCAGTCCCCGGAACCAGCAGTAACCCAGGAGCTCTTTAGCACTCTGGATCTGCCCATTACCAACGACGTTGACCCCCTGGGCAACGCCACAGACATTTACGAATTCGACCTACCGACGTTGGATCTCTTCGACCAACCACGATTTCGCGAAGAACGCCAACAAAGGAAGGATGATCGAACACATAACGAACACGACAGAAGGGATGGTTTCCCCAGAACAGACACCAGAGGTGCAACAACAACAATCTGCAAGAGAGGAGTCAGCACCTGCTGAAGGGGTGATAGTTGTCGCCACCTCTCCTTCGCCATCGCCAGCGCCGGCGCCCACAGAAAGACTGTCTCCCATTGAATCCTTGAACTTGGGATGCGGGATAGAGCACTTTGGCTCACAAAGTTGAAAAGGCGCCCGCACAGCGAGACGTCACATTGGGCTTCCATCAGACAGCTTGGTAGTGGTCCTTCGCGAAGAACCTAAAGTAGGTCGTGATCTCTAAATGATCGCCTTCGATATGTGCTCTCTACAATCGCCTCCAGGGCAGTCGAGTCGACTCCAGGTTCTGGAGTGAGTGTGATCGTGGATCAGTCGGGCCTGGGCCAGAGACAGAAAGCTGTTTCCGAAGGAGATCCTCATCAGGTAAGATATAGATGACCCTCATGTCACCAGTTCCCAGGAAATTCACCAGGGACATACCTCCAAAGAACAAAACACTGATACTAGACCACAATATCCAGGTCCGACATTCACAACACAACAAAGATCCATGGCAAATATCAAAAGGACCCGAAGGGTCCACATGCCACCCTGTGCTATAAGGATCAAAATCAAGTCGAAAGTGGCACGCACGTAGCCAGCCATGGCTACGTGCGATCAATGGCCGACTGGACGTACGTCAGTGCGACGCATCATCCAGAGAAACCCGACTCGGTGAAAAAGGCGAATAGGAAGGATGAGATATGGCCCCCGTCAGAAGACCTGAGAGAGATTACGGCAATCGCATATTGCTACTTGGCCGAGTTTATAGAGCATTGGGCTGAGGTCTCGGAAAACAGCGTGTCCACTCCCCTGAACCAAACTGCATACGACAGCCTTGCTGCGGCCACTGCGTTGATGACTATTGCTAGCGGAAGCAGCCAGGCTGGCGCAGCAGAGAACCAAGAGCCCGTTTTCGTCGACATGGAAAGGGACACGTACGTTGTGGTCGACGAGAAGGCCGGCAATACCTTCAAGCTTCGCCTGCTCGACAGGTCTACTATTAAGACGCAGGTAACTGGATGGCAACTCGCACACGTCTGGTTCGAAGAGGATTGGACGCCGTGCCACACGTATGTCGGTCAGAAATCGGGTATTCGGTACTGGACGTGGACAATGGATCAGGAAGGGAAAGAGGTCGCAGAGCAAAGAGACGAAGAAAATGAGGACGTGATTGATGGTTGTAGGTTGCTTACGGCTGCACCGGAAGCGGACATGAGGGAACACCTCTGGGGCCGATCCGGGGCATTTCCTATCATGATTCGGTAGCCGATGAGAATTGACCGATAGGTGCAATTCTACATTTCAATGTGCCCAACCAATGTGACCTTCTGCAGGGGTGACAATACACACAAGTTGGATCGGGTGGGAGGTTCAAATGCGAGCAACTACTCACGATGCAATCTACCTACAGCTTGGCGTATACGGGTCGGTTTACTTGGTGTCTTCCTTGCGAAGCTGTTTTTCCATCGAAGTTGCAAGCCCAGCGTCCTTCCTGGAGCTCCACCGTCGAGACTTCTCGTCCGCCTCGACTGCGCCAGGCTCTTCCGTCTTGTGCGAGTCGTCGAGGTTTTCCACTGAGGTTTTGAAAAGGCAGAGCGCCGTGCGAGAGAGAGGGAGCGGGAGCTCGCGGTAGATAAGGGAGAGATCTGTCGAAATTCTATTTGACCCGAGAGGACGGACGTGCATTTCGGTCTACTGAGAAGACATGACCGATATAGCTCGAGTGCAGAGAGGCTGACGAGCCTACCTTGATGGGCGATATGAGAGGCTTCGGGTCAAGGGGCTACGGCCGGGTTGCGTCAAGTTGACAGAAAAATATCGAGCATCGGGGATGATCAGGGTAGACGGAGGGGCTGGACGGAGGGAGCTGCTCGAGAGGGTGTGAATCCTGAGCATCACTGAGCGTCCCTGAGGAACCTTGAGCAACAGAAAATGGTACACTGGACAAGAGCGGTAATACAGACGAACCGAGACAGGACGTTGCTCGCCCGAGGGACAGATTTGGAATGCTCAAAAAAATCTGAGGCCTCACCAGAGCTTTACATGGTTCTGCTCATCAGTATTGAGTCTCACGTTGTTCATTGTAAGAACCCGCTACAAGGCCACTTAGCATGCTACCCAGCAGGGAGCCTTAGATACTGCCGCGGCTTGCACAATAAATTTTCGTACTGGCCCGGTACTAGCGGGGGTAAACGTTCACGATTGGATTCGTATAGGACGCTGATTACTTCCAGGCCTGCGTCTGACTCCTCGGTACGGCTCACTAAACATCCGGTGATCCGTTTGCTCGTCGCATCTTTTTGCATCGCAACCACCGATCCAAGAGCAACCATGTTTGACCCGACAACTAAGCTTTATGAGGGACTTCTTCGAGCAAGGATGGTGTCGCTTTAGAATCCTGAAGCCGGATTGAACGGCGAGGACCTCTGCGATTGGCATGGCTAGAATGTGTATCGGCCGAACGAAGTGCGTTCCGAATCTGTTGCACATCATACTCCAGGGCTTTCAGTTTGGTGTCGATGCTCGACATGATGCCGAGTGCATCATGTGTGAGGTTGGTTTTGTAGGGAACAGAACGGTTAGGGGCAATCATATTCTCAGCGACCAGACATATTACTTACTCTAGCGGCTGTGCGGTGAACAAGCCACCCTTGCCACCCAACGTGTCCAGTCCAACGCACGGTCCCAGCCGCCGCCGGATAACAACAGTGAGACCAGCGTCCTAGCCGACCCGCCTTCGCGCCTATAATCCCGAAATCGAATATCCTCCCTTTGCGATCCATCCGGGTTTGATCGTGGACCCTGGATATCCAAGTACTTATAAGTACATGGAAGGTACCTACATTACATATAGATAACTGACCGGATTCAATTTTGCATGCGACATGAACCGAGAACTGCAGGTGACGCGAGGACGAAGCGCGCCGAATATTAAATTAAGCATGCTGGAAACCTGTTGCCGATCAGGCAAGGTTCTGTTCTGTGACCCAGGAGTACTTTCATCCCAAATGTGGAGTCCTCATTTGATGCATTTGTTCTGTCGTTATCGCCCCGGTAAGACTCCTTACCGATGCTGGATCTGACCAATTACCTTCGTTTGGACTTCTGGAAGTCTCCTTTTGTACCTTAACAACAATCAATCCACTTTGTTCAATTCCGTGGTGACAGTTATGAGCCCGGGCGACGATACAGCTCCTTGACCTTCGATATCTACAGCAGGGCGCCTACGGCCAATACGCCTGCTGCGAAGCTGTCTACAGCTGAATCGCCGCTGCACTTCAACAGTCAATTGACGCGACGTTTCGCCATTGACGACCACTGGCCAAGGGCCGTTACCGACATCCTCCAGGAGAGCGATCATCTCTCCACGACACATCGAAGCAGGAGAAATCAGCTCCTCAAGACCAATTGAACCTCCGAGACGTGTGGCCTAGGGCTTGAGTACACGCGGGGTCAATTGATGATATTCAACATACACGCGATCAGTCGCGACCATCGAACGACCTCCCCGACGGTCTCCGACAACGCCCAGGGATCCTCAAGATGGACTCTGGTAAGCACAGAGTGACACTTACAAGGAGGGAGGAATGGAGGACATGGCTCAACTCCGTCAGAGCCGTGGCGACCTCCTACGAGGCCTGGGATCTAGTCGACCCAGACAAAGAGGCTGACAGGCGGCCCAAGAGGGCCAAGAAGCCAACAGCACCGTCATTCGAAGATGAGACGCGAGATCTCAGCACACTGCTGACGTTGTACAAGATCCATTTGGACATCTACAACAGGGAGTCAGCGGGCCTCCAGGAGGTCCAGAAATACATCCTCAACACAGTCGACAGGAGCCTTTCGGCCGTCTTCATGAACGAGGAAAGCAGCCAGGAGTGGCTCAAGGCGTTGAAGGACCACTTCGCCCCTTCCGACATGGGACAGAAACAATACATTCGCCAGCGCTGGGAGGAGCATATGGCGATGATCAAGAAGATGGACCATGAGAAGTGGGTTGACGACTTCATCCTACTCTGTATCGAAGTTGAGAAGCACGGGATTCCTCAGCTTAAAGAAGCCGCAGATCAAAATGTTCAATTCCTTCGGGCAATTCTTTCCGTGTCTCCAGGGTGGGCCGAAGCAGAGTGCGCCCACCAAGTTCGCCGGGAGCTGGATGATCGTGATGGAGGGAAGGTACTGGCGTTGAGGTACAAGAGCTACCTTAGAGACTACCAACCGCATCGCCTCACCACCAAGCCATCTCAGACGTCCTTCTACAGCGACTCGGTGACCTTCATGGGCAAGGACCGGAATGGTCAAAGTGATCGGACGAGTGCCCAGGATTCCCATCGTGACTCTCCTCAACAGCCAAACAGCTCGCCTTCTCGCAGACCATTCTGCGACTGTGTACAGCAGAAGAGGGCACCCAAGGCGTGTCAGCCCATCTGTCTGTGCCCAAATATCGCGGAACACCGGAGGAAGAAGAGCTATCAATCCGATCAGAGCCTGCTGGACTACATTGACGAAGCGAAGAAAAGGATGAAGCCAAGCACATTGCAATTCTGGAACGAGAAAATCAAGGAGGACAAAAAGAAGCGGCAGGAGGCAAGAGGCACCAGTGGAGTCGCCGTCTCTGCTTTTAACAACTTCCTCGGTGACGATGATGAACAGAGCTGCGATGACGAGTACACCAACTTCATGAGCAACTTCTCCGTCGCTGATTCGGACGAGTTTCAACGGACAAACCGAGGAGGGGATCTCCGTCACGAGTTCCTGATCGACTCGGGTACACCCAACCATATAACCAACAACAAAGACCTCCTCACCAACTTTCGCGAGGCCACCGACACTGTAAGATACAGCACAGGAGGAGGCAAATCAAGCCCCGTCGAAGGGCATGGCACGATGGCCATCGACACCCTCGACAGCAAGCAGAACGTCATCAGCATCACCTGCCATGATGTCTCGTACATCAAAGACTACCCGACGACGCTTATTTCAGCCAGGCAGCTCCAACGCCAAGGACTCGGACTGGACTCGCTCAGGAACATGCTGTTCAACCCAGCCACTGGCTCAGAGATCCCACTTCAGGAGAAGGGTGGCCAGTATGCGGTGAACACCCTACATAGCACCACTTCCTTCTATCACTCCAAGAAGCAGAGAGCCGCGATGGTCAGCGACTCGAGGCTCTGGCACGAACGGCTGGCTCATGCCCACCCAGAGGCCATACAGCAGCTGCCATACAGCTGTACTGGAGTTGGGGTGAAAGGGCCAACAACATTCGAATGCGAGTCTTGCGGGGTAGCGAAATCCAAGAAGATTGTATCTCGGAGACAGCCAACGTACACGACGACGAATCCATTTGAGCGCGTCAACCTGGACTTCTTCAGCCCTGGGAAGTCGTACAACGGCATGGAGTCGTGCCTTGTAATAACGGACGCATATTCGGGGAAGATTGTTGTCAGGATTCTGCCTGCCAGAGCAGATGGCTTCCAGGCGTTTATCAACTTTGAGATGTTTCTCTGGAGACAGTACCATCTGGTCATCAAGGTCCTGAGAGTTGACTGGGACTCAGCACTACGCAGCAATCTGGTTACTTGGTCAGAAGAGCGCGGCATTCTCTTGGAGAGATCAGCCGCAAGGACACCAGAACAGAACGGTGCCGCAGAACGCAATGGAGGCACGATATTCACCATCGCAAGAACCCTTACCTCGGCTGCTGGGTTCCCGGAGGATTTGTGGCCAGAGGTGGTACAAACCGCTGCATATCTCCACAATCTCACGCCGAAGGGACGCCTACAGTGGGCGACACCAGAAGGAAGGCTGAACGACTGGCTCAACTCCAAGGGCCTTGCCGCTCGAACTACGGCTCCAGGCCTGGCTCACCTGCGAAGATACGGATGCAGGGCGTATCCTCTCACGGCAGACGCCCAAGAGGGACGTAACCGAAAGCAGAAGCTGGCTCCGAGAGCCCACATCGGCTATCTCTGTGGATACGACAGCAGCAACATATACAGAATCTGGGCTCCAGAGATGAAAGCAGTATTGAGGACAAGAGACGTGGGTTTCGATGAGTCCACAGTTTTCAAGGACGCCCAATCCCCAAAGCCAATTCTACAGGACGAATTCCAGGCTTTGGACGTGCCCGTTGCGGACGCCCAGAATCCTTTCAACTCGTCACTGGACATTGACGAGTTCGATGTTGCCACCATCGACCTGTTCGAGAAAGCCCGGACATTCCAACTTGGAGGAAAGATCAACGCGGAGATACTGCGACCCCGGGAAGGTCACACAGCCAGCAGAGATGATGTCCTGCCGTCACCACGTCCAACTCCAGAGACGGAGACTGGACAAGGCCAGCCAGCTGTCTCTGAGGGGGTGGAAGATGCCGTAATAGACACCATTCAAGGGGCTGAAGATGCTGTGGAAGACACGATCCCCGTGCCAGACACCATTCAAGTGACTGAAGAGGCTATTGAAGACACTATCGAAGTAGCTCGGAGCCCTGAATCAACACCTCAACACACACCAGCTGATCAAAGTTCAGCTGAAGACGAGACAGAGACTGTGGAGGCCCGACCATCAGTGGCACCAGCCCCACAGCCGTCGCCATCAACACAAATCCAAGGCACTCGAAGGAGCGCTAGAGACAGAAAGCCGTCACAGTTCAAAGACGGCACCCCCACCGACCAGGCTCTAGGAGCCCGCCGCAGCAAGAAAATGCCTCCATCATCACATTTGACCGTGGAATACTCATTCTTTCACACTCAGACTCCATCGAACAAGAAACCGCTTCTCCGAACAGATATGCCCGCGGAGCCAAGATCCTGGAAGGAGATGCTTCATTCTGATCACAAAAAGCAGTGGCTAGAAGCAAGCGTCCAGGAGGTCAACACCATTGAAAATATGGACACAATCGAGCAAGTCCCCTTCGAATCGGTCGACCAGGAAATACACAAGGTTCTCGGGTTGACCTGGGTCTGGAAATACAAGGTTGACTCCACCGGCTACGTGACCAAGTTCAAGGCCAGGCTCTGCGTACGAGGAGACCAACAGCCCAAGAATGAGATGGAAACATACGCGTCGACACTGGCAGCCAAGACGTTCAGAACGTTGATGGCCATCTGTGCAGAGTTTGACCTAGACACGCACCAGTTGGATGCCGTCAACGCCTTTCCAAATGCACACCTCGACGAGACAGTCTACGTCTGGGCCCCTCAGGGCTGGGATCTCATGCAGGAGATGCAACAGAAGAAGGGCGCTCCACAGAGGCGCACGATTTTCAAGCTGAAGAGAGCTTTGTACGGTTTGCGCCGATCACCGCTTCTCTGGCACAAGCTGCTGTCCGAGGCTATGCGGAAGATCGGCCTCGTGGCTCTCGAGGAAGATAACTGTGTCTTCATGGGCAGAGGCATGATCATGTTCTTCTACGTTGACGACATCATCCTCATGAACCGCAAAGAGGATCGCCAAGCGGCCGAAGAGCTGAAGAGCCAGCTCAAGTCTCTGTTCGAGATGCGAGAACTTGGCGAGGTCAGATGGTTCTTAGGCATCAGAGTGGTCAGAGATCGTAGCCAGCGCAAGCTCTGGCTGTCTCTGGAGAACTACATCACTGAAAAGATGAAGGACCTCAACCTCCAGCCATCCACCAGAGGTCATTTGACGCCTCTATCAACAGACCCAGCACCTGCTCCAAAGGATTACGAAGCCTCTGCTGAATCCATTCAACTATACCAACGCAAAATTGGTTCCATCAATTACGCAGCAACCACAACACGACCTGATGTGGCCAAAGCTGCCTCAAGACTTGCGGAGTCTCTGCTCAGGCCGACAGAACTCCATCACCTTGCAGCAGACCACTGTCTCCGCTACCTCTATCGCACAAGGACTCTCTCGCTGTCCTACGGAGGATCAGGAGACCATTCTACATCGCTGTATTGTGCGAGCGACGCATCATTCGGCGATGATCCCATCACCAGATTTAGTTCACAAGGATACACCACCATGCTCTTTGGAGGTCCAATTGACTGGAAAGCTACAAAGCAGCGATCCGTGGTCACTTCTAGCACCGAAGCTGAGCTGGTGGCCCTCAGTGTCGCAGCGAGGAACTACCTTGCCACTCTTCGTCTGATCAAGGAGCTTCAGCTACGTTTTCATGGCAAGGTTCCGATCCAGATGTTCTGTGATAACCGCCAAACGCTGCTGTTACTCACTAGTGAGAGGCCTCAAGCCACTACGAAGCTCAAGCATGTTGACATCCATCGTCTTTGGATCCGACAAACAGTCAGACAGGGGAAGATATCCGTGGACTGGATGAGCACTGACAAGATAGTGAGCGATGGGCTTACAAAGATTCTCCCGACTCAGAAGCATCAGAACTTCGTGAAGCTTCTGCAGATGGAGTGCGTACCAGCGGTCCACCAGTGAACAGCTTGCTCAATTTCGCCCACCTCTCCTAACACTTACACACATCCTTATTTGCTTCACAAGCACGATTTCCTTCATCTGCCCTGAGAACGCCAACTGTTCCAAAGGCACCAAATTCTCTACCAAAAGCCGCCAACAGGCATCTGCCTGATCTTTCGTGGTTCAGATGGTCAGAGAGAGGCTCGCCTACCCATCTGAGGGGGTGTGTTGCCGATCAGGCAAGGTTCTGTTCTGTGACCCAGGAGTACTTTCATCCCAAATGTGGAGTCCTCATTTGATGCATTTGTTCTGTCGTTATCGCCCCGGTAAGACTCCTTACCGATGCTGGATCTGACCAATTACCTTCGTTTGGACTTCTGGAAGTCTCCTTTTGTACCTTAACAACAATCAATCCACTTTGTTCAATTCCGTGGTGACAAAACCCTTGTGGCCTTTCTATCAATCAAGACGGTGGAGCTACAGATTCCAAGTGAGTTGCACTTACTTCCTCGGTGAAGAGCATGGTACCTCCGGCCGCTGTCTATCGGATAGTCGAGTATGTTTGATTGTAAGGAAGCTGTTGAGATATCGTCGTGGACCTGGAAGCGGGTTAGTAGGAGGAAGTGCAGGCCGGACGTTCACTGATTGAAAACCTGCAATAGAACATGCAGCTGCCACCGGGCCCCTGTTTTCCGGCCCCTCGGTTCTTTGTTTCTGTCCTCAAAATCTCCAATACCGCCCAGTGTCTTTGACTCAGCCCTTTGTGATTGGGTCACCATCCTTCCTCGTCAGGCTTGTATGCGCGCGGCAGTCATGCTCGCCTACTAGGATCAAGGCGAACGTCGCTCCTTCGATGTATCAGCGCCACAAATCATATAGGCTTATCCCTTTTAGTAAGCCATATCCATGCTGCCCCTTAATACACATTGAGCTAGGCCGTGCCCTTACAAACAAGAGTGCTCGCCAAAACCAACTTTTCGAGCGTGCTGGCCAGCACCCCTTTCTCGAGCATTGCACCCACTCGACCGGCATCATGGACGAACATGCCAACTTCATTGGCAAAGCCACCGATCCAGAAGAACTTAAGAGCCTTATCATCAACTTGCAGCAGCAGTTCTCCATCCTGTGTGCATTGACATCAACACTGGGTCTTTTTACAACGAAGAGGTTCACACGGGGCATGCAGCACCACCGCACTCGGGAGACCTGAAAAACAGCCCTTGCTGATTTGGACCATGCCACCCAGTCCCTTTGCGTGTCCTCATTCACCGTAGACACGATTCTCGGCATGGGGACAGCCTCTTCCAATGATTTGATCCAAGGGATCCCCAGCTTCGTCGATGCGGAAGATGGTCGGCGCAGTCTCATCACTTCAACTGCTGGGGATTTCGTGCTCCGAATAGTGCCCGATTTGAGAAGCCAAAAGTATCACTACAGAGGTAATATTCCATTCGCCAAGATGCGAATGTGCAAAGTAACACAGGCGTAGAAAAGAGAACCCGTAAGCGACTTGGGGGCAAGAACGCCCGAAGAAAGCAGGAAGCCAGTTCAAGACAGAGTACCAAAGCATGCGAACCTCTGAGAGACGGGCCTCCAGATTCGGGCCACGATGTCAAGTATGCTTCTCAAAGCGTGTCGGGATCACCACACCACATAACAGGGAGTTTGCCTAGCCTGAACCATTTCCCTTCAAGTAATATTCCCAGTCCAAACCTGCTCACCACAGTGACCTATCACGACGCGGAGATGAATGTCCAAGAGGACTCTTCCCTCATCGAATAGTTCACCCGCGATATCCCGATGAACGTACAGACGCCGAACCTTGGAAGCGAGGAACAAATTCAACATGACCATGTCGATGTTTTCCAAGCATCTTCGGACACCAACTGGTTTTGGCGTGTTATAGCAAACGAAGGTGGTGAGAAGACCAGTAAGAGCTGAGATCACTGTGGCCTAGTCCGACCACCGCAGGCAGGGAACTCGACGGATTGTGCGACGAGATCAACTCAACGAATTATAACGACAGCAGAGTACGCAGCCATATTGATTGTTTTCTCCTCTGCGATCATGTATCCGATATACCTCTCTTCGCAAAGATCCCCGCCGACCTCGAACTTGCAGAGGAATAAAAATACTACGCAGACGTCGTGATGGTTCCGTCTTTATCAGACTGGGTTTCAACATATTAAGCTTTAGAAGTAAGACCGAGCTGGAACTTGTGAGTCCCTGCTCTGATTGGGCTCTGTCGCTACGTACACTGTCTCTGACTCGTCCTGAGGTATCGCCGGAGATGGCTTTAGTACGAACCTGGTTAAGCGTGCAATGGGTTTAACGCTGTTTGCTGTCTGGAGGTTTCAAATGAATATAACAACATTTTCACAGGACTATTGGTGTCATGTGTTCTTTGACAAAGGGTTAGAACAGAAGACCTCACTGGCATTTTATGAATCACGAATAACAAGTCAAAGAATGACAAAGAAAACCAACAGCCACTCTAGTCCGCCTATTTATGTCACCTCCAACCAGGTATCTAACCCTTCGTCGTGAGCCTGGAATGTACGATCTCAAACGAACAGAGATGACCGCTTCAATAAGATGAACATAGCAGAATGAACCCCCTACGGCCCATCGCTCTCTGACGGCGACCCCACCACGCTGTCCTGCAGATCAGCCGCCTCAGTGGACTTGACCCAACCAGACACGCCTTCGAGAGCCCCTTCGAGGTCTTTCTCCTTGCCGTGAAGGAACTCATCGATCTGTGCAGGAGAGAATCTCCGATCAGGTATCTGTGCAGCGAACTTTTTCGCGGCCTGATCAAGATCGTGCTCTGCCATTTCATCCTTGAACTCGTTTCGGAACAAGGCTGCAGCTGTCTCCCTGGATGCCAACTGGAATTCGACACGACGATGGACTCTCCCAGCGCGTATCAATGCAGGGTCGAGTTTTTCCATGTGGTTTGTTGTCATCATAACCATGGCTCCTCCTTCCACGTTGAGTGAATCCAACTCTTCAAGTATGGTACCCAGGCAAGCTTTATCGACTTTGGAACCCGATTTATTCGCCTCGTTCCGTGAGCGAGTGACATCAGCCGTATCGATGTCTTCCAGGAGAATGACACATTTTTGTTGAATAGCACTCATGAGGCTGCGAAAGGTCTGGTCGTCGTATGTAGAGAGACTTCCGGGGCGATAGATGGGCACACCTAAGTGCTGAGCTACAGCAAGAGCAAAAGACGACTTTCCCGTTCCCGGGCGTCCGTAAAGTAGCATGCCCATATAAGGTAACTTGCCGCGGCCGGTACGACGTGCCTGGGAGGAAGGTTCGAAAAAGCGGAGACAGTCGGCCACCAACTCGTCTTTGTCGTCGATGAATAACGAATCGAGGCTTTGGACCGGTCGTGGCTTTCTTTCATGCCAAGATATACCTGCGTTGTTTGGTGTTGGACCGGGCGACACAACTCTCAGATGGCCTGGTTCGCTCCAATTCTGGGCCACGAAGCGAAGAAGTCGAGGAAGATAGTCCGGATCAAACGTGAGTGCGATGATTTCGCCGTCGTTTACAATATAACCCAAAACTCCCTCATGTATGAACCGTGTCCTCCGACCATGCAGTGGGATGAAGTCATGCCCAATGCATCCAAGTTGTTTCGTTGGATTGCTTAGGTTGGATACCAATAAAGCCCTGTTTTTACGCAAGTGGCATTTGATAGACCAAGCAACCACGGCGCTGCTCGTCTGGGTGTCGTTGGGGGGGATGATGACGCGATATGCCATGGTTCTCAAGAGGCTAAGCATGAGGTCATCCCACCATCGCCAGATGGACGGAGCAAAGAGAACAAGCGCCATGAGACGAGGGGGAAAGCCGAGTAGGAGAAACGGAAGTAGGGACGCTTCAAGTGGTCAGGTAGGAGGAAGTAAAAATCGGATCCAGCGGACGATCGGAGGGCGCTCGACGCGGTCATGTATGCGGCCCAAAGCCCGAGCGAGATAGCGTTGGCAATGCTCACAATGTATCGGTTGGCATCAGGCAGAGACTCGTACAATGTGATGTTTGTTGGAGGTTGAAGAGCAACCGCAGTCGCGTTCCCGATCCATGCTGAGAGAACTGTAAGGTTGAACATGTTGAGTATTGAAGTGTAATGGTTTTTTTTTTGAGAGTTGTGCTGTTGACTGCTGGAAGGTACGGTCTTACTGTGTTTATATACATGAAGTAAGGATCACCATTGGGGGCAGTCAAAACACCACTGCTGGCCTCATCTAGCCATTTGCCCCCTTTTCGTATCGGGCAGAACACCACCAGTGACTATCGGCGAGCTGGGCCACTTTGGAGGGTGGTCGCGTCGAAGCGGCCTGTGTGCCAACGCACGGCGTTGAAGTGTTCAGGCTAGTTGTGGCTGCGATCTTCTCGACTCCTGTGACAAAGCTTGACCATGCACGCGTACAGCATCCCTACTATGGGGGCCGGCTTGAATTCCATCAAACACGTCAGTAGCCGACTGACGCCCTGCGTGGTACGCTTTACTTAGGGTGGTTGCGTTGCCGGCGAGGGGGGCTGCATCACATCGTTTGCACACTGATGCTCAGTGCGACCGGTCCCTGGCTGCATATTGCACCCGTCCCGAGACATCAGGCCATTCCAGGGCGGATAGATGTTGGAAGTTACCTGATGATCATGTCCAGTATTCGTAATGACTCACTCTCAGTTCCTCCAGCTCATTCGGGCCTCACCGACCTTTTTGCGATGCCGGGACGACGGCGTCACGCAGTGTGACGCGAAGCGCGATGCACCCCTGATGTCTAGGGGCCGTTCAAGCCAAAGCAACAGCGGCATGCCTGCTCTGCAAGTCATGCGGCAGCCAACAGAAACACGACGCTGGTTGCAATTGAGGGGGGCTGTCCCTGCGGCGAGGCAATTTCTTCGCAGGGAACAGTCGCGAACGTCAGCCTGTCGGCCGGTTGGACAGCCTCATTATGTGTTGGAATGTGTTGGAAGATAGTCAGAGGTGATATGGTCGCATATGGGCGGGCCGTTTCTTGCTCAGGGTCAAAGCCGCCACAGCACTTCTCATGACTCACCGACGGACTTGCTCACAGCGATGGAGTGCGAGATCACCCAGTCACAACCGCGTCATCTGCGTTAGCAAGTGCAAGGTCCTCGAGCAGTTGTTCCGTATGGCATTAGGCAGGTATTGATAGCGTCGTTGTCCTCAGAGGCAGGTCTGCGCCTCTCCTTTTGATCCCCATTCCATGTGACTGGGAAGGGGAGGCTGTGGGCTCAATTGACGCCTGTCTTGGATGCCGCCGACTGTGAGGCTGACCTGACATGTTGGACATGAGTACGGTCTTGCAAGGCATCATCCGCCAGTCGCACTCAAGTGGCCGTCGAAGTCCTGTGACCGAGTGCAGCATTCGAGATCCACACTTGACATTTTACTGCGTCGCGACAGATTCGCCACTCACTGACACCCTTGCTCTTGGCGACAGGGTTGGCGGCTGTTGCTTTCGGTGAAAGAGAAAACTGGCAGGCGTGGTTTATTCCAAGTTGGGGGTCCATCCACTTCCCGGCATGCGCGATGTTCACTCGGTGAACCTACGACATACACCAACATAGTCTTACGTCTGCATCTTCTTGATTTCTCGAAAACAAACCTCAACTTCATAGATGAAATCTCTCCTCATGATGAAGATCCGCATTGCCCTTGATTGTCTTCTCTCCCGCGAGTATCCCGCAACGGATACACAGAATTCGATCCAATGTTCTTCCCTCCAGCAACAGCCTCTACCTGACGGCCCGGCCCGATTTTGGAACGGTTACCTTCTCTGGCAAGGGCTCAACACAAGCCTTCTGCTTCAAATCAACGATTTCTTCTTCGAGCTCATCACAGGTGCCAATGACTAACGCGATCTTCGAGGGTCTTCTGAAGCCGCCTTTGGCTGAGTGTTGGTCAACAAGCGACTGCTCATTTATATTTCACAGACAACGGGAAGACGATTTTCAACACTATCACCCTGCGAGATAGACGTCCAATTGAGGAGTCGCGAGGGAATGAACAGGCATCATCATTTTCGCAAGCTTCGAAGAGGGGGCCGATATGGCTGACGTGTCCTTTCGTCATTTTCTCAGGTTTGAATTGTACAGCAGTTAGCGAGGGACGTTTCCTCGCCAGGTCCTTGCCTCCAGTGATGCGGCATAGAGACGGATGTCAAGCGCTCCGTGGCCCACCTACAGCCCATTGTGCGACATGGCGGTACCAAGGAGATAACGCCGACAGCTTCCACAGCACCGGCTGAGTGCTTTTTCGCCTCGCATCCATTCCGCCATAACCCAGCACCACCTGAGATGTAACTGTCCTGTCTCATGCCAAGCACACGCTCTGCTGTTTCTCTCTCGGAGATAGTGCAGCGGGCAGCACTCGGCACCCCCGACGTTTGCGAGTGCATCGGCAAGCGTCGTCGTTGAAACAGGGCCGAGCCACTGCGGAGCCGCATCGGAGAGCCGACTTCCACCCGATTCGCAGCCCGTAGTGAGACGCGCCTGTAGGACGCGTTGCCAGTCGCGACGCTCTCCAGCCCCACAAGTGCGACCCGCCGTGCCTGCGGGCCTTGCCCACTGTGTCGGAGCGCGCTGCACACGATCACGTAGCATGACACAAAGACACCACCGATGCGTGTGATGGCGGGCCACCTATCGGCCAACGCTAGAGTCTGGGAGGGAGAGAAGCAGGTGATGACCTACGGGGCAGTCATAGCGGCCGCTGTTGTGGCACTGTGGGGGGCACTCGACTCGTGGACGCAGGTGTAGCTGGAGGGAATTATGTGCTGGTGGTGGTGGGCCAAAACGAGGGCCATCGTGGAACGGAGAGGGAATTGTCGATCACGAGTAGCTACACGAGGAAGTCGATGACTGTACAGCAGTCTCGTCGCTTGCCCCGCCATTGTTCCTGCGTCACTGTCAGTACCTTTCATCACAAGGGGCAGGAGTTGGCTTTACTTCAATCACTCAAGAGTTCTGGGCCGGGCGATTATGGCGTGATGGTGATAGAGTCGGCCAGTGCCGGAGCCTTGTTGGATGTCTTGCTATACCAATGATGGCTAACTTCAGTCCAGATCTCCCCGCCGGCCAAAGAGTGTAAGAGACCAACCTATCTGTCTGCTGAATGATGCCATAGACGTCTCATCAAATTTCTCATACGACGAAGCCAATACCCAGTGGAAAAGTACTGCGTGGGAGAGCCGGTGGCGGAGGTCTCATCATCCAAATGGCAAGGGACGAGCGGCATGGAGATGAACTCAATACATACTTCGGTCAATTCACCATCCACCTAGATAGAGTAAGTGTCAGCAATGACCCGTCTGAGCGTACCACTGACATACCTCGGTGATCCTATACAATATAATGACCCCCATGGGAGCAGTAAGTCTACTCAAGGTGGCAGAAGAGACAGGTTTGTCGAAAGAGGAAAACAGGCGTCTAGTGTGGCTTTTTATTCACGGTACGCGTCCAGTCAACCCAAGACTTCCGAGTCCTGAGCTCAGGGATAATTAGCCAGGGGCCAATGCGCCTTGTTAGATTGGTCGAGTGCGAGCACCTAATTGCGGATTTGCACTGCCTCTTGCAAGATGGTCGCTCCATCGGCGCCGATAAGTTCTTGGTACGACATCGCCTCCATACCTAACAAGCACAAGGGTGTTAGCGTGTGATCGACCATGTGCAGTTCCAGGTCCGGGACGGGATCCCGCGCAGACGTTCCTGACTCCCCACAGTGGGGAATTGGTGCAACAAAGCAGCAAGGTACTAGCTGCCGTAAGGTTGGCTGTGCTCTGACCCTGGTGGTACTTCAACCTTGTGTGAATTTGAGATCGCCCTTTGCAAACTCCAGGGCATTTTTGCCCCTGTCGTTGACATTTCTCTACAGTGGTCTACTCACAGAAAGACCCACGTATGCTGACCGGCATTCGATGAGGCACTGGAAAGAGAAGGAGAGAGAACATTGTATTCAAGGGGTTCCATTGCGCATCTATGACCTTGAAATGAACCCACAGATAAATCTGGCTTTGCCATCCGATTAGTAGCTAAGAATTGTTGCCTTGGTGCCAAATATTCACCGACTGGGCAATGATGAGCGGGCTACGCATAGGAGAGTATTAGCCTTGCTGGGAGTGAGGACTGGTTTTCTTACCAACCACCCGGGGGGCTCCGTCAGGCTCAATGTTCTGCATATCAGCATGAGAATCTGATCCTTATGTATAATTATCGCTGGCACTCGCCTCTTCAATATCGTCGAAGATTGTCAGCTGATCATCATCTTTCAAGGGAGTTTCGCAGCTTGTCAGCCGACTCAGAAGGCCGCGGTCTTCGATGTCAGAAACGCCATTTATCCAGTCTTCCACTGAGGATGCAGTATGTGGCAACGCCTGGTTGTCAGCCAGAGTGGACCCCGAGCTTCGTTGATGTCTAGTCGGCGGGACGCTTGTCATGTTGGCTTTTGTAGTTGCTTGTCCCCGCTTGATGATGCGTGCTGGCCAAGTAGGAATGACGGCCTCTTTATGAACACATGCCTGCCACGTTCCCAAAAAAAAACCCGTTGTTGAGTGCCCGGCGTCGCGATTGCCAACGTCGCAGTGAAATTGCGATCCTTGCTTATGGCTGCCTGTGAGCTGTCGCAATCAAGAAGAGGCAGACCAATACGGTAGAATCCATTTGACTTGAACTGATCATGAAGATGCAGCTCCCTCGCTGTTCCATGCTGGGATGGCAGGCTAAGGCTTATTGTGCTACTATGGTGGTGCATGCACATCCTCCCCCCTTCCCTGTACCCTTCCCCTTCAGCCTCGGAGGACGACCGGTGAGACTTTCCGGTAAGTAGCCCATCTTCTCTACAGTGGGGATCGGCACACCGCAAGTTGGCCACCGACCACGCATGCCAGTTGCATATATCACAAATCTGCAATCATCTGTGAGTCGGGACTTCACGGCTTTCCTCTCGATATTGTTCGGCGGATTGGATACAGGATCATATGGGTCTGGCTCACGCCAAAGACCTTGGGCATCAGGGCGTCAGGGCGTCTGGCTCGCGTGTGGCGCCGCGACTCGAGGCAAATCACCAGTATCACCGGTAAATCTTGGACTACTGCTGGATGCTCATACAGACTTTTGCCATGAATTTGGAGAAGAAACGAGTGTACTCATCGTTGTCTCCAGCAGCTGTTCTACATTTCTGAAGGCCATGGTCGATGGCCGGAAGCACGCTGCGTTCGCAGAGAACGGACTGGGTGTGTATGTGCCGGAGCCAGGTCGCATTGGCCGTCAGCTGAAAATGCAGCATCGCAACGGCAGACTGACAGGCTTCTGGACAGCGTACCAGCTGCGGAGCCTCTGTTTATTATTTTGGATTATGGCCTGAAAGGACACGGCCAAGGGATGTTCCCTGCCCCCGTTCCTTCCATCGCGGCACGATCAGTGAAGTGTCCAGCTCCCCGCGCCGCGTCTGTGTCTGTGTGGCATACACGAGGAGGTGCATACGCCCGTTGGAGGTAAGCCTTGCTAATCAAAAGACGGCATTATGTGGGATCGCATTGTTGTGGGGCGTGCACCATGGGCTGCCTGCCGCTTCGTCCTTTGTGGATGGATGTCTTCGTTCTTTCTCTGCTCCCTCTTCGATCTCCTCTCCATTTGCTACGCCTCTGTTTTGGCTTGCCCGCCTACTTTTTGCCGTAAACCAGACTGGAAGCTTTCCACTCCGACGATCGCCTCGACTTTTTTTGCATTTATGCCTTCCTGTTCATGACACTAGGTAGTGATAACCAACAGGACGCAGCCCGACCTCCGATCGATTGTGGACAACCGTTCTTCTCACCTGTCACCCAACTCGACCCCTCCGTGGGGAAACGACCGAACACGATACCCAGTCGAAGAAGGGCTGATCAACAGGAGCATCCTCCCGACACGCAACTTGCGCAGGGCTCAGGCGGAAACTCTCGGCGAAAAGGCAGCTAAGCACGCAAAAAGAGGGGGAAAGCCACCATCTGCTAACTGGATGGTTCCATCAGAACTTGGCAGATTGACTGGCGCAACCGTGACTGGCGTCACATGCTCGACAGACTTCTCGCAGACCTTCTTGACGTTCTTGAGGCAGACATTACCGTTTCCGAGCCATTCGCTTCGAACTATCCACGCGAACCCCGAAGATCGGCCATTCTGAAGTGGGAGAAATCTTTGGTCCCGAAGATACAGTTCTACTGCCTGAAGAGGAGGAATACAAGCGAATACTGAGTTAGTGATTGAGCTTCCAACCTTCACATCTACCTTGTGGTGTGTAGGTTTTCTTGCCTGATAGCAAGAGGACCCTGGTATTCGAGGACGTGCAGGAATAATGGCATAAGCAAAGCAGCAATCTTCACCGATGAGTCCAAGCAGATTTATAGAATATGGTCAACCAATTTGCATTCTAGACACTCGCGACAAGGGAGAGATCTGAAGCAGAGGGAATTCCTCGCGGGTCATGTTCTTGACGGAGCGTTTCCTCATCTTCTTGATACCCCTCGCCTGTGATTCCTTTCGATACAGCTCGAGCTAAGCACTCGTACAGATACACGAGAGGCGCGACGGAGCATACAAAGCGTAGGACCAGGAAGGCCACCTATTTCGTGAGCGCGTGACAAGGGACGTGGGCAATCCGAACTCACAAGGTAGAATGTGGGCTTTTGGAATGAAGGAGCGAGCCCAACACTGGCGGCAACGACCTTCAATGTCATGTGGAGGCCCAACAAGATGGTGGACTTTCCATCATTATCATCGAGTTGTCGTAAGGTCACAACCTTGAAGAGAATAGGCCAATATCTAAGCCGCTCCTTGCCATCCCGTTTCCGACAGTCACTCTCGTAAGAGAGTTTGAGGTAAAGGCCGGTACGGACGATGGCCACAAGTAGGTTTATTTCGAAGAGGACTAACACCGGTGTGCGGGCGGTTTCAGGCGATTGGCTGAAGAACGCAGCCAGCACGACGACTGCTGAGTACGCAAGGCTGCTGAGAGCCGAGATCCATAGCCATCGTGTTGATTGGAGAAGACGGTCCCAAAAGAGTCCCTATAGCCTGTTAGCTGGTGCGCTGCCAGTAGGAGGGACCACTTACTTCGCCTGCTACAATGGCGCAAGTACAAATGAGCAATAGCAAGTGCTCATCGAAGTGGAGCGAAAAGGTTGTGACGCATGCTGTGAAATGAACGAGCTCGATGGCGAACGCTCTAGGCTCGAACTCCCCATGTCCTTCTGCTGCTGAATGCATCCACCTTCTCGTTTGGGGGACTGTATAGATGATATGGCCAAGACTCCGAACGACAAAGCTGGCCGTGGTCAGCACAAGAGCTGATATCTCTGGGGCGCTGTACATGATGCGTCGCGGTGAGGTAACATGAACAAAAGTAGCCAAGGATAGGCGCAGGTCAAGAAAACAAGGCAACGACGCACTGATCACGGGGGTGCGCGAACCATATACACGAAGCCTGCGCCATAACACGCCTTCGCTTCCTGCAAGCGCATTGATGTAATAACCACGGCAGGCGACCGGGACTGTTTCCGTGGAGGTTCTTGCCACGCTCACACCGGAGCAGGTCTTTTCTTCTGCCGTTGTGTGGGTCTTGACCGATTGGTACAGTGATCGAGCTGACCCCCAATTTTGGAGTTGATCTGATCCGAGACCCCCTGTATGCCAGGTTCCGATGCACCATCTCTGACAGGACAGGCATGGGTTGCTGCATCCTGCAGATAGTCCCGAAGCCGGTAGCTCTTAAAGATGCCTTTGCTTGACGGGTGACGAGTGCGAAGGATTGGGGTTGCTGAAATTAGTCGTCTGGCAACTCAGCTTGCCGCGCAACATGATCACTGGGCCCTGGTGGAGTGTGTCACTGTCGGGTCTTCACGTGTGCAGATTATGAGGTGCTGGCGGTTCCAACAGCCCGCTTAGAAGCCCACATGCAGCGGGCCCCCCTTGATGAGCCATCGCGTTCGCTGCGCGGTGTTCTCAAAGCTCGCGTGCCGATCCTCAGCGTCTGCATTCAGTCTTCTCCCCGGCAGCCTCTCTCTTACTTCTCGACGTCGCGATCACTTCCGGGCCCTCTTTGTCTTGCCTGCTTTGTTCTTACCTACCTCTTTCGTGGAGTTAACCCCCAATAAAATGTCGTCGTCCAGGAAGATCTCGTACCCTGACAGGAACTGCGGCAAGGTCTTTGCTTCCAGAACCGCTGATGTAGGAAAACACAGAAACAGGGTGGCACCATGGTCATGAACCGGTATGCCTCTCTTCCGCGTCCTCTAGGGATCACGGCTCTTCAGATATTCCATTCGGGATCCCTTCCCAAACAATCCCGCCGGGATGGGGGGGAGGGTGGCGCGGGAATAGGATAAAGCTCCAGCGAAAGCTCCAGCGAATGTCGCATTTAGTTCAATGTTCACAACCGATCTCCGGATTGCGAGCCGCTCTGACCCGTGACTCGTAGCACGTGACATCGTCGGTCGAATCAGCTTAAAGCGGGTGGCCGGAGAAATGGATAGGCCGGCTAGTTCTCGCCTCTTGACACGAGCAGAAGCTGACAGATCATACACGGTGACTTCGATGTTGTCCATAATGTGGAGACTGTGCCGGATTTCGGAATCTCGGCAACTTCCAAGGGGCAGTGGCAGAGGTATTTTCGGATGAAAGTTTATGCGAAGCCATCCGAAAAGCTACTGGTGTTCAGTGGAGTACGTCTATGCTGAACGAACAAGATCTTGCCGCTCTGCACTACGATATGATCAGCAGGCTTGTTTGTCGGGTTCGCAGCGTTCGCGTGCATTTTCACGAGCCAACCTTTTGTCGCGATGAATCTTCTTGCCAAATTTCCCTCTCCTGCCTTAGAAGCCTGACACAAGCATCGCTGCCCAAGCTGGCAAGTATAAGTGCCGCACCCCTTCGCTAATCATGCTACCCCTCCTCAATCTAACGGCAGAATCAGGACCTCTAATCAAGTCGTGCCGAGTCGCACATCATCCAGAAGCGGGCGAAGTTCTGGCTACAACCTCAGCCCAATATTTTGAAATATTAGTGCCTTTGGCTTGATATGACCGTCATCGAGCAAGTACAAGAAAGCATGGCTGTAAGTAGTGATAACCCGGGAGATCATTCAACAGCTGACGAAGAGGGCACACAGCAAACATACTCCTACGTAGCTATCGCGACATTAGGCCCGTTCGAACATGATAAAGTCATTCATTGGGAGGCCGCGGATGGAGACGGACGTATCTGGATGGGGCCACCGGGTAATGTCAATGCATATCGTCAAAATACAGAGAGCAAAGGAAGCGCCACGATTGAGAAGGGCAATCTTGTGGTCATCAAAGAGATGTATTGCAGGCTTGATCCGCCTTTAAATACATGATACATCTTAGGATTCGTTCGGCACGAGGAAGACATCCTCCATCAAATGCCACCCAGCATTCCGAGTGAGTGTTACCTGAAGCATCCTATCAAGACCGTTCTTGTGTCGAAAGACTTGAATTGCAGCAGCTGCTGCAGCTTCTTCAGAAGGCTCGATTTCGTCACGAACGATGACCGTCTGGCTCGTGGGCGCAGCGGCTGGCCTAAGGCCAGTTGCTTGCGCCAACCAGGGGCCAAACTTGCGTCGTAACTTCTTGGCGTCTCCCTTCGCCTGCGCTATCTCATCCCCTACTCTCGCAGATAAGCTGACCAGGAGCTGGAAGTTCAACTCATCCGTTCTTGGCACACGTAGCAAGACGTGCGCTGTGAAATCTGCTGATTCGCCCTCTTTGGCTCTCACGTAAGTCTCCTCTAGCCCGTCGAAAACAGTGGCTCCAAGATAGAGCTCAAGTGCGCTCAGCAGCGCCCTGCTGGCCATGGATTGGTCGAGCTCGTAGCCTTCGTCGAACAGCTGTGGATGATTCTCCGTGGGATGACTGTGTTTGCGGCGTTTGCTGCTGCCTTCAGCAGGAGTGCCGGCGGCCAGTGCGGCGAAGTGCTCAGCCCCAACTACATACCATTCGATCAACAATTTATGCTCTGTGAGTGGCAATGCTACCATCACCAGACTTACTGCGGATAACCTCGGCTCGATGTTTTTGGCTAATGGAACGACAATAAATGGACCACTCCACAAGCCCGTCATCATGCCTCTTTTTCACTGCTTCTTCGAGTTCGTTATCCCGATCGCCGCTTGCGGCTTGTTGAGCAGCGTTATCTGCATCACGTTAGCCCCTTCCCTCATCCTATCATTATAAATCGAGGTTTACCAATAGCCACGACAAAATTATTTTTAGCAGCCACATCTTTGATCCCGCGGATGCACGATAGAAAAGTGTTCGTCTGAATAAGGGCGGGAATTTTGATCTCGCGGAAAAGTTTGTGTACCTCAGGGCTTGCTTTCGCGATTTTTTCTCTAGTCTTCTTATTTAGGAGACAGGTGATGATGAAGAGTCTTAGCATCGACGCATTTGGGTCATTCTCCAGAAGCGGCCTGGCTACCTTGAAGAAATCGCTATTGAAGATGAAT